CCCCCGGGCCAGGGTGGGGGTCGGTGGGTGCCGCGCGGTGAGTGCGCCCTTTCTTCTCTCCCCAGTCTCTGTCTGGGAGCCGGGCCCGGCGAGGCAGGAATGGCCCCGAGGCCGCCGACGGAGGCGCCCCAGGTGAGCTGCACGGACTTTCGTACCCCGGGAGTGTTTGAAGCAGTCATTGTTCTCCTGGGGAGACGTCGTTTCCTGGCCCGGCCGCCCCCTCGGGGTCCCCCACCCCTGTGAAACCCGAGGTGCCCAGAGCTGCGGGGAGCGGGCTTCCGTAAAGGGGGGCTGTCCTGGGGGTGGAGGGGACCAGGGCCAGGGGTCGTCTGGGAGGAGTGAAGAGCGGATGTGTTGGTAGGTGTCAGTGTTGAGAATCCTGAGAGCCAAGCCGATTCCGTGAACTCTTCTTGTCCATAAGGAATGGAGAGGGTGGGTGACCGGATGGGAAACTGTACCGGAGGGAGTGACGGTCAGTGAGTGAGGAGAGCGGAGCCAAGCTTCTGACCTAGGAAGCCTGGTCTGGATTTGCCGAGGAAGAGGCTGGAGATGGGCTTTCTTGGGCAAGGAGTGGGGGTGGGGGTGGGGGGGGATACAAGGAGAATTGTCCCAGAGCTTTTCGTGTCTTTTTCTGCTTTAACAAAGGTATAGTAGTGCGCATCCCCAGATGTCCAGCCTTCGGGGTAATTAGCATGAAGCTGATTTGTGAGGGAGAAGGCATTTTATAGAAGCATCACAACTCTGAGGTTGTCCATGGATTTACACAGAGTGTATCGGTGAAATATAACAAGGTCCAGATGGTATTTTAATCCATACTCTCTTTAGAATTAAGGAAAGATCATATTCTATTGTTATGTGTATGAGACAAGATCAATCCAGATATATATTTTTTTATTTCAGAGAGGAAGGGAGAGGGAGAGAGAGAGAGAGAGAGAGAGAAACATCAGTGATGATAGAGAATCATTGATCAGCTGCCTCCTGCACGCTCCCTACTGAGGATTGAGCCTGCAACCCAGGCATGTGCCCTAAGCAGGAAGCCAACCATGACCTCCTGGTTCACAGGTGGATGCTCAACCACTGAGCCATGCCTGCTGGGTTGGGTTGCCTTTGAGAGGGAGGGAAGGTGGGGGGGGGGCACTTTTTAATGGTGAGAGTGGATTTGTGTTCTGAGCAGTGAGTTTTAGGGACTGCTTTAAGCTTCATTTTTAAAGTTATGTTTCCCAAGCATTCTGGTTCAGTTGTATTGTTCTCATAGAATGGCCCAATAGTCCACCGAACGCAGGCTGAAGGACAGAATAGAACAGTGAATCTACAACAAACAGGAGCTTTTTAGGCAGAGATTTCCTTTCATCGTGGTTCCCTTTCCCTGAGCATAGCCCTTGGGAATGTAAAAGATGAGTAATTGAGTCATGTGACAACTTATCCAGGAAATTAATTAGTGGGGGAGACAGCCCCTGCAGAAGTAGAGCACAGGAGAGGTGGTGCCAAGCATTGTTGCAGAGGTCCAGAGGCTGCTGTGAGTGCAGAGGGGGAGGAAATTCTGCCTCTGGGATAGTCAGTAGAGCCACCTTTGCATAGGAGCATAATCAACGCTGGTGAAACTGAAGGGGATGAGGGTAGAGCTGGTTGACTGTGGGTCAAGGGAGTTGGGAGGCAAAAAGATGAGGGACGTTTTTATGAAACCGTTGTCTTGTGAGACTGTGGGTGTAGGTTGTAGGCAATGGTTAGAGGAGAATAGAAAGGAGTTTGGACTTTTTTCTTTTGGTCTTTGTAACTCATTTATTCCTTTATGTATTCATTCAGCAGATAATCATTGAACCCTGTGATGTATTAAGACACTTTCTAGGTGGCTAGGATAACATTTTAGTGAACAAAATTGATAAAGGTCTCTGCTTTTGTGGAGCTTACATCCTAGAAGTAGACAGAAAAATTACATGATATCTTAGAACAGTGGTTCTCAACCTTCTGGCCCTTTAAATACAGTTCCTCATGTTGTGACCCAACCATAAAATTATTTTCGTTGCTACTTCATAATTGTAATGTTGCTATTGTTATGAATGGTAATGTAAATATCTGATATGCAGGATGGTCTTAGGCGACCCCTGTGAAAGGGTCGTTTGACCGCCAAAGGGGTCACGACCCACAGATTGAGAACCGCTGTCCTACAAGGTGATGGTACCTCAGAAAAATAATTAAAAGTAGGAAAAGGTAAGGAGGGTTGAGTGGGAGATGTCAGGGCTTGTGGTAGGATGGCAGTTTTAAATAGGATGGTAAGCTTATGCTTGTTGGTGACATCTGAGCGGACTTAAAGGAGGCCTGGGAAGGGGTTCTCCGGAAACACCCGGATGTGTGTCTGGTGTGTTCAGGGAGCAGCAAGGAGCCTAGTATATCTTGAGCCAATGTTTTTGAGCAGGAAACTAGTATAGTTTCTTATTACTTTTAAAGATTGTTGTGAATAATGAAGTGTCAGAGCTCCTTTAGGGGCGTGGTTAGCAAATACCTGAAGTGGTCCACAGTGGGAGGGGAATGGGAGCCTAGATGGGTGAGGGGGATACCCTGAAAACCCTATATATATGTAAACACTATGTATTTTCTTCCTTACATGTGTACTACATGTTTAGCTAGGAATAAAAAAAGGTGTTTACCATTCTTAAAGTTGAAGCCACCAGAACAGTAAGAAATGGGGGGAGTTTTGTAAGAAAAAAACTACATGTGGATACCTGTACTTGTTCTACCTTGAGGGGAGGAAATGGAGAGGGACTGGGTCCGGTCTATTTTGATTCCAGATCCCAAGAGCTCTTACTGTTCTTATGTCACATGAGTGGTATGTTTACCCATCCATCTCCACACTGGACTGTCAGTTCCTTTAGGGCCTTGTAACTCCTCTCGTCCCTTGCTCCAAGGTACATAGGTGGTAAGTGGGTGTTACATGAACAAACATTCATAACCACTTAGCCCAAGCAGCAGTTTTACACTTTCTGCATTTTCTGCTCCTTACATGGCAAAAATGATATTTTTCCAATTATAGTGACACTAATTTTGGGGGGAAAAAGAATTGCATGAAACAACATGACTTTCACAGTTTTAAGAAATTTTGTCTTAAAGACAATGTTAAGATGTCAAACCCTGTTCCTCTAAGTCTAAGACCTATCTCAAAAGTATGATTCTTTTCCTGACTTTCCTGTACTACCTTTTTTTTTAAATCCTCACCCAAGGATATGCTTCCATTGACTTTTAACAGAGAGTGAGAGAGAGAAAGAGAGAAACATTGATCAGCTACCTCCCATACAAGCCTGCACCTGGGATCGAATCCACAATCTAAGCATGTGCTCTAACTGGGAATCAAACCACCACCCTCCGGTGTATGGGACAGTGCTCCAATCAACCAAGCCACCCGGCCAGGGCTGTATTACTTTTATTAAAATATACCTTATTAAATATACCTTAAATATATCATCTAGACTTTTTTTTAACAAAAACAAAGTCATTTATGTTATCTCTTCCTTAGCATATCTAATTGTTTTGATGAATTTCCTTTTTTTTCTAACTGCACATGTTTTTCCCTTAAACATTTCCAATTACAATATTTTAAATTTCATATAGTTTTTATAAGGGTTTTTTAAAATCACTTTTAATGGCTGTATTATATTGCTTTGTATGGACATACTAAAATTTGTTTAACCATTCCTCATAAGACATTTAGATTGTTTCTAAAATTTTTACTATTACAAATAATACTTATTCCTATGTAAATCAATATTTTAAAATTATTAATGAGGTGGGGGTTTGTTTTGGTATTAAGTCTTTGAAATCCAGTGTGTATTTTGCACTTACCACACATCTGGTTTGGACTAGCCACATTGCAGGTGCTCAGTAGCCACATGTGGCTAGTGGTTTACTGTATTAGCGTAGATCTAGAATGTGATTGTCTGACTTACTGGCATTTTTGGCATGGGAGAGCAGAGTGAGTGTAGGGGAGGGAGCAGTAGGTCAGGGATGAGGTTCAAGATGAAGTTAGGGAGATAGTGGGGGAACAGATCGTGAAGGCCTATGTAGGCCATTGTAAAGATTTGGCTTTGAATTGGGATGCCATTAGAGGTTTTAAAGCAAAGAAGTGACTTGATCTGACATGTTTTAACAAGATTACTCTAGTTGTTATATGGAAAACTGACTTCGGAGGGACACAGTAGTGGAAGGAGGAGAGAGGGAAGTTAGGAGGTTGTAGCAATGGTCCAGGTAAGAGATGATGGTGGCAGGGACTAGGGTGAGGAATGGTAGGAATAGGGAAAAGTAGGGAGAAATTAAAAGTTTGTACACATGATCAAATTTGTGTTTTAAAGAAGGGCCTTCCACCGCCCTCCACTGGGGATTGTGCCCACAACCCAGGCATATGTCCTGACCAGAACCAAACTATGACCTTCCCAGTTCATAGGTCAGCACTCAACCACTGAGCCACACCAGCCAGGCTCATTGGCATTTTCATTCTGCCACAGTGCATGTGGTCAAGTCTGACACCTAGTAAATACTCGTGTCATCTTACATGACACAGTCAGATCCCTGACCTGGTCAGAAAAATTTGCCACGTTTCAACCCTTCCCTATTCCTGTGGGGACACAGCCACAGGGATGTGATATGGAGGAGCCAGTGTTGTGTATGAATGCAGTCATGCACTTCACTAAGCAGAGGGGGCCACTCCTGTTTCTCTAAAATTCAGATCTCTGCCATCTCTTTGAGGCTCAACACAGGAAACAGATGTGTGGTATGGGTCAGGCACTTGTTGAAACTAGTGTTTTAGAGTTTAAAAACAATTTTATAGTAGCTGCCCTCATAATGCTCACCATCTAACTAGAAAAACAAGCATTCGAATAATTGTGTGTGTGCCAGGGGTTTAAAGGACATAATACAGTGATTGGCCCTCCAGTGGGGAATCGGAAGGTTTCAGTGAAAATCTGCTAACCAATATCTGAAGCATGAAATGGAATTAGCAAAGAATGATATTTCCCAGGAACGGAAAAACACCAGTTCCGCTGTGGCCAACCACATGGGTAGAAGGGCATGGACTAAGGCAGAAACCTCCAAGTAACCTTCCCTCGCAGCTCCAGCGACCTTATGGCTCTGCTTTCAACATCTAATTGTCTTTACCATAGTTTCTTATATCCTTCTTGAGATAGAAATCTAACCAGGCCATGGCGACAGGTGTCTCATGGCTTAACAAGGCCTAGCAAGACAAGCAAAAATCAACCCACAAGCATCAGAACTGCCAATTGAAAGTCATGGAGGACCCTCAGCTAGTGTTGTTTCACTGGGGAGGTGAGGAGAAAGTGGTTGGAATGGAATAAGAAACATGAAAAGACCTTTGACCTAGCAATTCCAATTCTAGCTAGCTATTCTAGAGAAGTTCTGGCATAATTGCACAAACAGTATTTAATGCAGTAATCTTTGCAATAGCAAAATATTGTAAATCATCCAAATGTCTATTAACAGGACCTGGTCCATTCATTCATTCTCAGGGTATTTGTCAGCATTCACTGTCAGTCAAGGTATATATCTGGTGAAGACAGATGAAGTTCTCATGGAGCTCATAGTGGGGAAGGCAGACAAGCTCACAAGTAAGCAATCTCAGATAAGGGTTAAAAATACAAGTATCCTTTTTAATCTATTTGATTCCTGAGTTAAGGTGGCAGGAATTTGGGCAGTGAGAGAGAACTGTGTCAGAAAGAAAATTAAACATGGTAATCTGATGGAGAGTAAATTAAAGGAAGGTGCTGAGACAGCTTTTCTGAGGAAGTGATGCTGGAGATAAGCCTGAAATAACTAGATGTCAACCATGTAGAGCAGTGGTTCTCAACCTTGGCTGCACATCAGAATCACCTGGGAATGTCTTTAAAATCCTGATTTCTGGGCCTCATCCTCCAGAAATTCTGTTTCTTTGTTACTAATGTTGTGGCCCCACCCCATAACAAAGAAACAGTGGTTGAGAACCACTGTTCTAGGCGGGGAGAGAGTAACAAGCATAAAGGCCGGGGTGGGAACAATCTTGAAGTATTCAAGGATCAACAAGTTCAGCATGGCTAGAGCCCAGTGAGTGGTGGGGAGTTTGAATTTTATTCTTAATACAATAGGTGCTGTTGGCTTTAGATAACGGGAATATTATTATATATGGAGTCTATGAAGTAATTCAGAGGGTTAAGGTGAAGTTATATGTATTGCTATGGGAAGATCTCTAACTATTACATAGTTTAATGTAAAAATAAGTTGTAGAACACTGTGGTATTTCACAAAACAAGACACTGGGTGTATGTGTGTAAGAAACATGGAATAGGGACTCTTTAAGTGTATGCACCAAACTGTTAACAGTGATTATTTCTAGGGTTTAAATTAGGATTGGTGATGGGGATGAAGGAGGGCTGCCACTGCCACTTTTTACTTCCTACCGTATTTGGATTTTGTAGCAAAAGAAGTACACGGGCTGGGAGGTTCCTGATTGCATGAAAAGGCTTGGCTTTGAAGGGAAATACAACGAAAGCTAAGGATTGTAGGATATACTGCTCCTCATGACTTTCTGGCCTGAATATTAGATTTCTTTATGTAAGTGTGTAAACAACTACTATGTAAGTGTGTAACCCAACATTGTCCCCTCAGGATATTAAATGTGATCATCGTTTCTAATAGACTCTACAGTGTGTTCCCAGTATTGCCATGAGAATGTTTGTGGTTGATCCTACTTGAGCAGGAATGTGATCCTACAGGAATCAGTGACATTCAAGGATGTGGCTGTGGACTTCACCCAGGAAGAATGGCACCACATGGCCCCTGCTCAGAGGCGCTTGTACAGGGATGTGATGCTGGAGAACTACAGCAACCTGGTTTCTCTTGGTAAGGACCACATCTTAATGTCTTGCCGATTGGTGGGTCTTTCCTTTCTCAGTTACTATGGTTGTGGAGCTCTGTGGCTGTAGCTTGGGTGACTGTGAGCAGGGTGTGAGTGTTCAGGGTCAGAGCTTGTTCATCTTTTTGGGACCCAGCCTTATGGGTTTCTGAGCCTGCTCTTTAGGTAAAAGGTCTTTCTTTTGCAGAACTGGGAGTAGGCCATTTGATTGCATAATTCCTCAAGTTGCCCGTTTTCTTTTCCTTCAGAGTTCATGAGGATCAAGGACTACTACTGACTTGTAGGAGGCTTCTTTGTTCACTTGCACAAACAAACAAATCTTGTGTTTTTACCCATGAGCAGGATATCAAGTTTCCAAGCCAGAGGTGATCTTCAAATTGGAGCAAGGAGAAGAGCCATGGCTATCAGAGGGAGAAATCCAAAGATCTGTCTGTCCAGGTAAATGAGTGAGGATCATGCTTGTAGGAACCAGTGCAGACAGTGGCATAGCTGAGGGAGTGGGAAGCATTTTCATATTGCTGTCCTGGGAGCTCATAGACAGGCAGAGGAGGCTGAGCTATCATGACACCTCTGTATATCTCCCTTCTCCAATAGGGTGCTCCTGCTGCTGGTAGGTCTTAGAGGAAAAGATACCACTTCGTTCTACACTTAGTATACCATTTCTCCTGTCCTATAACCCTACTTGCTGGATTATTTTCTCCTCTGGTATCCTAAGTCTCCCATCATTATTTAGCGATCCCTTTTCTTACTCATTCGGACATAATTGAACTTCCATGTCTCCTTGTTTCGTCTCACTGCTCTCACTGTCAGCTGCCCCAGACTTGTAGGAAATATCCGCAGCCTTGATTCTTCCTCTCTTCATAATTTGTTTTTAGACTTCTTTCCCTCACTACACCTGTCTAGGGAGGAACATGGTCTTCCATCCATTCTGTGGCCATGTTGATTTGACTCATTGCCTCTCTCCACAGTCCCTAGAATATCATTCTCTCCTGGTCTCTCACCTTGTTAAGTGCTTCTTGGCTTTAGGTCTTTGGCTTTTCTTGCTTTTCCCTCTAAGCAAATATGCCTTAAGGCAGCGGTTCTCAACCTGTGGGTCGCAACCCCTTTGGCGGTCGAACAACCCTTTCACAGGGGTTGCCTAAGACCATCCTGCATATCAGATATTTACATTACGATTCATAACAGTAGCAACATTACAGTTATGAAGTAGCAATGAAAATAATTTTATGGTTGGCTCACAACATGAGGAACTGTATTTAAAGGGCCAGAAGGTTGAGAACCACTGCCTTAAGGAGTCTGTCCTCCAGGTTCCTCCCCCTTCTTTGTTACAAAAAGGGTGCCTGCCTTCTGGTGGTTGCAGCTCTTTATTTATGCTATAGACCAGGGGTCCTCAAACTACAACCCGCGGGCCACATGCAAATACAAATATTGTATTTGTTCCCGTTTTGTTTTTTTACTTCAAAATAAGATATGTGCAGTGTGCATAGGAATTTGTTCATAGTTTTTTTTTAAACTATAGTCCGGCCCTCCAACGGTCTGAGGGACAGTGAACTGGCCCCCTGTTTAAAAAGTTTGAGGACTCAAAAATCATCCTTGCTTGTACCCTGGTCACTTATTCCTTTTCACAGAACACCTTCACTCGGAAGTCCCACTCAGTTCTTATTAAAGATATAAAATCTGAATTAATCATCTTGCCCATCACTTCTTTCTACCCTGGCCTGTTGGAAACCTTTTAGTATTTCTAATCTCTCAGACCAGACGCCATAGTCTTTTTCTTTCAACCCAGGTTATTTTCCATCTTTGAGAAGTTATCTTAGATTTTCCTGCCTTTAACTTCCACTGGTGTCATCTTCAACCAAATCCCAGGCTTAGATTACTATAATTTCCAGTTAAAATTCTCCCTCCATCTTTTTTTATAATCCATATTAGATTTTTTAAAATTGATTTCAGAGAAGGAGAAGGAGAGAGAGATAGAAACATCAGTGATGAGAGAGAATCATTGATCAGCTGCCTGCTGCACGTCCCCCACTGGGGATCGAGCCCACAACCCGGGCATGTGCCCTTGACCAGAATCGAACCCGGGACTCTTCAGTCCCCAGGCTGATGCTCTATCCACTGAGCCAAACCAGCCAGGGCCCATCCTTTTAAAGTGTACACTTCAATGGTTTTTGGATATATACAGAGTTGTGCAGCCATCACCACTATGTAATTACAGAACATGTTCACCACAAAAGGAAACCCTGCACCTAGTAGCAGTGACTTTCTATTTCCCATACCCCAGCTCCTGGCAACCATTAATCTACTTTTTCTCTGTATGGATTTTCCTATGCTGGGTATTTTCTGTTAATGGAATCATATAATATGTAGCCCTTTGTGACTAGCTTCTTTCACTTAGCATATGTTTTTAGGGCTCATCTAACATGTATTACTTCATTTCTCGGTATTCATTCCTTTGTATTTATTTCATTGTATGCATATACCACATTTTATTTATTAATCACTTGATGGGCCATATTGGACATTTTTAATGCTTTATCTTTATAAAAAAAAACCTCTGAAAAAACCTTGTTGTTACTCCCTATATCTCATTATAGAAAACAAACTCCCTTGCCCTAACCGGTTTGGCTCAGTGGATAGAGCATCGGCCTGCGGACTCAAGGGTCCCAGGTTCGATTCCAGTCAAGGGCATGTACCTTGGTTGTGGGCACATACCCAGTAGAGGGTATGCAGGAGGCAGCTGATCGATGTCTCTCTCTCATCGATGTTTCCAACTCTCTATTCCTCTCCCTTCCTCTCTGTAAAAAATCAATAAAAATATTTTTTTAAAAAAGAAAAAGAAAACAAACTCCCTTGATTTAAATGTCTGCATCAAACCTTCCAGTATTATCTCTCTATTCCTGCCCAAGCAACCTTCACTCAGGTTGAACTTCTTTTTAATGTTCTTTGTAAGTAGCATATACTTTCCCTCATTAGATAATGCTTTCTGCCTATCCAAAACCATCTTTTCTTTTAAGTTCAAGGTCTAATTCATGAAACCTAATGCATACTAACATATTTACTTCTTCCTTCCCTGATCATAAATACCATTTATATCATCTCTACCACACAAATTCAGATGTAATAATATACCACCCGATGATTTTTTCTTTGTCTTTTTTTTCTTTCTTTTTAGTTGTCAAAAGATTGAGTCTTATTTCTGTTCTTAGATTTCAGGCTACTAGAGGGTCTGTTTTTATTTCTGTATATTCTATCTGTGGTGCAAAGCATGTTAGCAGGCAGTTAGAAATTACTTGATTGATTGTTATGGAAACTGGCTTGGGAGAGAATTTTATTATTCACTTATTTCAACAAATATTTCTTGAATTGTTCCACTGAGAAGTATTCTAAAAGAAATACAAAGCATTCCCTGTCCTTAGAAATTTAGAATTGAGTCTTGTTACAGGGTAAGGAATTTTGGTGTTTAGGGCCCCTTAGTTACTATGTTATTCCCTCCGAACACTTAATTATGAAAATTTTCAAATATATAAGAAATTATACAGTGAACACCAATCGTATAGTTAACATTTTATTATATTTGCTTTATCACATACCTGTTCATCTATCCATCTGTCAATTTATCTTTTATGTATTTCCAAGTAAGTTGCAGATGAGTATATTTCATTCCTACATTTTTTCATGTGCATATCATTAACTAGAGCTCAATATTTGTTAATGGTTTTTAGAGATCAATTTATTAGGCAGATTAAAATAAATCCTTTTTGGTTAAGCAAGGTGACTAGTATAGAATCAGAGCTCAAATAGACAAAAACCACAGCCCCACTTGTAAGGGCAAGAATGATTTGCCTTCTGAAATATTTTTCTCAGTGTGTGACATCTAGCCCTTGATCTTCAAGTGTATCAAAGAATCATTTCTGTTAGAGCACTAGCTGCAGATTTTTCACTTCAGGGTTTGACTATCTGGAGCCTCAGAGGTGACATTTAAAGAAATTATAAAATAGATATATTAGGGAGATAGATTCTGTAGTAGTTTGTAAAATGGACAGGAGTCATAGAGAGCAGGTAAGATCCTGCGAGATGGACTGTGATCCTTTTTCCTTTGTATCTATGCCTAACACTCTCTTAATCACTTATCTCCTTACTCCCTAATCAGCCTCCTAGCTGGGCTTCCTAGTTCTGAACTTATCATTCACTCTGGATCTGCAGTCTGTATTATCATATCTCTTCACTCTTCCTTTCCTCCATTTTGAGTATTCTCCCCAAGCCACAGGGCTGATTTCAAAACAGAGTCATGTATAATTTGAATCTCATTTCCTCATTCCTACTGTAGCAGTTTGTTTCAACAGGAGGGAATAGGGGACTTTTGCACTTTGGATTTCTTTCAGACTGGAAGACCAGGCCTGTGGCCAAATCATCAAATCTACAGCAGAGCATATCTGAAGTATCCCTTCACACAGATGATCTCTCATGTGCTACATTAGAAGATGTGAGTAATCAGTTAGAGAGGCACCAGGAAAACTGGAAGAGGTATCTGGGGCCAGATGTATCCACCCAGAAGAAAATAATCACACCAGAGAAAACCTTGGAGCATAATAAATTTGGTGAAAACTCTAGATTGAACACAGACCTGGTTACACAACTGAACATTCCTTCAAGGTCTAGTGAATGTGATACACTTGGAATCAATTTGGGACATAATTCAGACTTACTTAATCAGAATAATATCCTTGTAAAAAAGAAACCTTATAAATGTAATAAATGTAGAAAAGCTTTTATTCATAGATCATCACTTACTAAACATGAGAAAACTCATAAAGGAGAGGGAGCTTTTCCCAATGGTACAGATCAGGGAATTTATGCTGGAAAGAAACACCATGAATGTACTGACTGTGGGAAAACCTTCCTCTGGAAGACACAGCTTACTGAGCATCAGAGAATTCACACAGGGGAGAAACCCTTTGAATGTAATGTGTGTGGGAAGGCCTTCAGGCATAGTTCGTCCCTTGGTCAGCATGAGAATGCACATACCGGAGAGAAACCCTATCAGTGTAGTCTCTGTGGGAAAGCCTTTCAGCGCAGCTCCTCCCTTGTTCAACACCAGAGAATTCACACTGGAGAGAAACCCTATCGATGTAACTTATGTGGGAGGTCTTTTAGGCATGGCACATCCCTCACTCAGCATGAGGTCACACACAGTGGAGAGAAACCCTTTCAATGTAAAGAATGTGGGAAAGCCTTTAGTCGATGTTCTTCCCTTGTCCAGCATGAAAGGACTCATACTGGAGAAAAACCTTTTGAATGTAGCATATGTGGGAGGGCTTTTGGTCAGAGCCCATCCCTTTATAAACATATGAGGATTCATAAGAGAGGGAAACCTTACCAAAGCAATAACTATGGCATAGACTTCAAGCACAGCTCATCTCTTACTCAAGATGAAAGCACTCTGACAGAAGTGAAATCCTACCATTGTAATGACTGTGGGGAAGACTTCAGTCACTTTACAGACTTTTCTGACCATCAGAAGATCCATACTGGACAGAGCCCCTATGATTGTGAGCAGACCTTCAGTCAACAATCTATTTCTCATCCTGGAGAGAAACCCTATCAGTGTAATGTATGTGGGAAAGCTTTCAAAAGGAGTACAAGTTTCATAGAGCATCACAGAATTCATACTGGAGAAAAACCCTATGAATGTAATGAATGTGGAGAAGCCTTCAGTCGACGCTCATCACTTACTCAACATGAGAGAACCCATACAGGAGAGAAACCCTATGAATGTATTGACTGTGGGAAAGCCTTCAGTCAGAGTTCATCCCTCATTCAGCATGAGAGAACTCATACTGGAGAAAAACCCTATGAATGTAATCAATGTGGGCGAGCCTTCCGAAAGAAAACCAATCTGCATGATCATCAGAGAATTCATACTGGAGAAAAACCCTATACTTGTAAGGAATGTGGGAAAAACTTCAGTCGAAGTTCAGCTCTCACTAAACACCAGAGAATTCATATGCGAAATAAACTCTAAGAACCCTGGAATTTTTTAAAAAAATGTGCAGAAAGCTTTAGCTAAAATATTGTTCATACTCATTGTCAAAGGATTCTTGCTGGATAAAAAGCTTGAGAATGTCACGAATTATGTGTATGTGTATGTTGTGTGCAGAGAAAACTCTGCTAGTAGACAATTTTTTTCAATAAAAGCCACATTCTTAGATCTGGTTACAAACTTTTATAAAAACAACTACAAACAATATATAACCTGTTGGAAATGCTATGCCTATATATTGGACTTTATAAAACTTTTTAACATATATGTGCAGGAGATTACAAACTTTCAACAATTTGACTTGCAACTGTTACTGTTTACAGCCTTTTTTATAGATAAAATTCCTGCATTAATGACCAAAACTCATTTTAAAAATTGCTTGACAACTGCATTCAATTGCAGCTCTTATATTGAATGCACCATGGAAACCAATTCCACCTCCAGAAATTCACCATTCAAAGAATTAGATCAGCGGTCCAGCTACTTCATTGTACAGATGAAGAACCTGAAAACCAAAGATGTGAAACGGTTTGCACAGTATGCTACAGCTTATGGTGGTAAAACTGGTGTAGGATGCAGGTCTCCTGGCTCTTTGGCTCCAGGGTCTTGACACTGAAAAGCTAATTTGGAATTCAGAGGGCTTTTAAATAAAGTTTAAATCAGATGCACAAACATTTAATGAGCACTTAAGAATTCATAAAAGCATAAGAGGCAGCAAGTTTAAATTTGTCACAGACTTATTTAAAGCAACTTGTTAGAAGCTTACAAACCAAAATGTTAACAGAAACTAAATGGTTGAACTAAAGTATCATAATTATACTTTCAGCTAACATGTCAGTTTTATAGAACTATTAAGTCCTTCTCTGCACTGCCCCAAGCTTCCTATATTGGATCAATGAGAAAACAACACAAAATAACTTTTTAAGCTTGGTGGTGCTTTTCCATCCATAAAGCCTGAGAGCTAAGTAAGTTTCAGTAGCCCACTCAAATCCTTAGTGTCCCTTAATGGGAATTCATAGGCTATCCCACAGGAATTTCAAGAAGCTTTGTTGGTTCATTGGCACTAACAGTGCAGATAAATTTAGAAGCAATTGTGGACATTGACCCCTTTCATACACGAGCATCTCTTCTCTAAGATAAAACAATTTTTCCACCTTGATGAGTCATTGGGAGGAGTAATATGAGTGGTGATGATGAAACCTTTCATCCATCATCCTTGTCTCATCCTGGATAACAGGAGGCAGCTCCCAAACATTCTTCATAGTTCTTTTCAGGAAAATGTGCCTGGGGGTTGAAATATGGCATGTCTAGCCCATTGTCTATCACATATGGAGCAAGATGGGATACTCCCTAGCAGATTTGCCCTTCTAAGACAGCCATTCAAAACATGCCTTGTTTATGATATGCCATGCTGAGTGCACACACAATGCCAAAGTCATGCTTGTATTGTCTGGTACATAGTTTGACAATATGTAATACTCAAACCTTCCCTATTGATTGGCCAAGATGCCTATCAGGAACTTATTTTGCTGCTGGTTGTTTGGGGATCCCCATAGTGGACTATTTGTAAGAATAGCATGAATTGTAACCAGTTGAGTGCTACCCTACTGTTAATAGAAGTTTATAAAGACTTTAGATCTAGAAGACCCAAAGGAGACCACTGGTTTGTGTATGGAGTCTGGCCTAAATCCAACCAATCTCTGAATCTCAGCACATCTTCATTGACAGGGAGGGAGCCCAGGATATATGTGTGGCTAACAGCAGAGGATTCTGTGGTCCCAGCATCTATGCACCATGCACTTATGACCACCTAGCTTTCTAGGCCACATGAAATGCATCCTTGTAACATCATTGTGTCATTTCAATAAATAGCCTTCTTAGTTGAATGGGAGTCAGTTTGTCTATTTCAGTTTTCAGAAGTTGACTAAGAAACGAGTGGCATATCAAGGAGGAGGGATTAACTGATAAACTCTTCACAGCCAGGTGAGTTCATAACAGCTACCATTTATTGAATACTTGCTACTTGAAAGACATTTTGCCAAGTACTTGATAGCCATCATTTCAGTTAATTCTTACAACTCCCCATTCTAGGTCTTGTGGTAACTATTGTCTGTCTGCCCAGCTTTTTCCCCTCTCTTTTCTTGTAACAATCCCTGCTGTACTGATCACAGGAATACAAAGCAGGACATGCCTGGGGCTCGGTGATAGTTTTAGAGGAAAGCATGTGCCTGGTTGAGCCAATATCAGAGTCCTTTGCCAGGATTTTTTCAAAACAGAGTTAGCAGGGAAATTTTAATTTTGGGTTGCTAGGCTGGGAATGTGAAGGCTAGAGCTGCCTAGAGCCCGATTCCCTACCAGAGGAGAGGTCTCTTGTGAAAGAGGGTGCCACTGATATGATGGTGTTCTCTTTACTAATCCCTGAAGTCTTTGGACCTGCCTCAATTTCTGAAGCACTTTGTAGGATTCAGTGGGCTCCCTACTATCAGTCCAGTGATCCCCCCTTTTTGACTAAAGGCTAATCTGTTAGACTCTGTTCCTTTTTTTTTTTTTTTTTACATTTTTATTGATTTCAGAGGGGAAATATCAATGATGAGATAGAATCTTTGATCAGCTGCCTCCTGCATGCCCCCTACTGGGGATTGAGCCCGCAACCCGGGCATGTGCCCTTGACCAGAACCAAACCGGGGACCCTTCAGTCCGCAGGCCAACGCTCTATCCACTGAGCCAAACCAGTTAGGGCTAGATTAAGTTTCTTGCATTAATTAAATCTAATACATGTATTATGTCCTTGTTTTATAATGGTTGGGGGGCGGGGATGGGACCCAGAGGTAAAGTAACTCACCCCAGGTAGTACTGCCCTTGGCAGACTTAGGCTTCTGACTCAGGACTGGCTGCAAAGGCATAGCTCTTAACCACTAACTGATGTCTCCAGGGCCATGTTGGGTTCAAGGAGCCCATAGTGCAGTGTCATTTGGGGGTGAGTAGATAGAAGGATATGGTGATAGGTCAGAGACCAAAAGGAGACAAAATGATGAAGGGCCTTGGCATGTTTTCTTGACTCAGTAAATTAAATCCCCTAAATTCACTCACAACCCTCATACCTTAATGTATCATTTAAATCAGCCTATACTGTAGATAGAAATATTATATCCTCCTTAAAGAAGAACTTTCATATTTTCCATGGTGCTACTACATAGTCTCAATTTCCTTAACAAGTCCCCTATTGTGACAATTTTATAATAATGACATTGAGTACTTATATCTTTTTAAGTACTCCCACTTTATTTTATAGAATATTTTATGTTAATTTTTAACATATCCAGAATGAAAATGAGATAAAATATCCAAAGTGAGATTTTTAGGTCAGCATGTAGAGGGTTAGTATAACCGGATGGTGTGAGATTCATACCAGAATAAACTAGATGTGATAGCCCAGGAGTAATCATCTCAAAATTGCAAACAGGACCCAAGAGAAAAACCAGCCTCCCACCCTGGGGAAGGTCCCAGGGAAGGCCTCTCCCCTGAGCACCTAACACACCTCTGCCTACATGGGGAGAGAAGAAAAACACTTCTGCAGTTTGTATGCATATTGATGGTGGTCGTGTTCAGTTCTTCATAGCTGCTAAACTAGTTAATTCTTGCTCATCTTAAAAATGCAAATGTAGCCCTAACCGGTTTGGCTCAGTGGATAGAGCATCGGCCTGCGGACTCAAGGGTCCCAGGTTCGATTCCGGTCAAGGGCATGTACCTTGGCTGCGGGCACATCCCCAGTAGGGGGCGTGAAGGAGGCAGCTGATCGATGTTTCTCTCTCATCGATGTTTCTAACTCTCTATCCCTCTTACTTCCTCTCCCTCTTCCTTACTCTCTGTAAAAAGTCAATAAAATATATTTTTTTAAAAAATGCAAATGTAGCTGGCTGCCCTATTTCAACTAAATTGATGTATCTCTTACATTTTCAGAGATAACTGTTAATGTCCATCGTGGTACCACAATTTGTGTTTGTGATTATTTGCTGTTCTCCCTCCACCTTGCACTAGATTATGAATTTCAGGATGGCTGAGTCCACATCTATTTTGCTAACTTTTTGTTTCCCTACTTATTAGTAGTATAGTGCTAGGGACATAGTAGGTACTTAATATAGTCTTGTTAAGTGAGCAATGAAGTAGAAATTTGTTGGTAGACAAAGAAGACTGGTTTATAAATAAAAAGATTCTCAATCTTGAAATTAGAATATTGCAAAAGAAAGCAGTAAGATACTATTTCTGGCAAAAATTTAGAAGTCTGGCAGGAGAAAAATGAGAGCTTGTATGTACTGCTGGCAGGAGGGTAAATTGGTATAATTATTTTGAGAGTAATCTGGCAATTTCCTGTAAAGTTGAAGCTAAGCATGCTTCATGACCCTAGACGAGATGTATACCTCAGACTAGAAATTCTCCCGTGTGAGCACAAAGACATACATGAGGATGCTCATTGCAGTAATGTTTGAAATAGTGAAAATATGGACACAACACAAATGTCTGTCAGTAAGTTAATAAGTTGTGGCATATTCTTATATAATACAACACAGTACTTAAATGAAGGAACCAGAGCATCTGGCAAAACATGCTATCTGCCTATTCTACTCCTGTGCCCATGTATTCTAAATATTTTATTTGTTTTTATTATATGTCCTACTCTGGAAGGTATGCTCCATGAGAGTAGAGATTGGGGGTGGGGGGTATATATTATTGAAGCATAACATGCATACAGAGAAGTACAAAATAGCCAGTGAACAACTTGATGATAGAGGGTGGCTACTTTTGGATCTTTGGTGTAGTGCCCAGCATAGATTTTCAAATATTTACCAAATGGTTGGACTGAATGTACATGCATTAACATGCCTACCATATTGAAAATAAAGTTACAGAGTGCCAGGGTTCTTGTTCCAGCATCTAGAAGGGTTCAGGAAATCTGGAGAAGGGCTATGTGTAACTTAATAAAGAGTAAAGAGACGAATCATAATTTTGAAACGCATTATAGGGAGTCAGAGGAGCCTAGCTAAAGAAACTAAGATCTCCTCGTCTCAGGACCCACTTGCTTTTTATTAACACAATTTGTCCTAAGGCGAGGTAGAGAGATACACATCAAAAGGTCAGGTTTCATATACAGAAGCATTGTCAGAATGGGGGAATTTGCCTACAGCTGTTCAGGTGTTTGGCCAGTAGGAGGCAATAACATGTAGATTAAGATGCCCTGAGCTGTCTGGCAGCAAGCAATCATCCCTTTTCAGGTTTGGGGAAATGCCTTTAGCCATTCCCAACAGGTGACAACATATGTGACTCAGCCCTTGTTGAGTCCCCAAGTTCCATTAACCTTTCGATGAAACTCTTGCAATTATGACATGCTGGAACTGGCTTCCGGCAACAGAGGGATGCATGTAGTGTGGTATGTTATAACTAAAAGAAATCGATTAACCTATTTTTATCAACTCATGAAGTAAAAGTAGGAAGGTATTAAAATATCAGCTTCAGAGTGGTGTTTTCCTCTAGAGCTGATGGGGAGAGGAATAAAAGAAGGCTTAAACTCCTATCTTTTTTTAAAATATGGCAAGATATTTACATTTGTTAAAGGAGTATGATGCATAGGTATTTATTGTATGTGTTTCTTTGAACCTTTAATCCCTTTAATAATTAAAGTCCGCCTCTTGCGCTCATCTGGTCTCGCCCATAAAGCCACCTGCTTGGTTCCCCTCAGGGTATGAGCCTGTTGAGCCTGTACATGTAGTGTGTCCAAAGGATTTAGGAGAAGGAAAAATAGGCACTCACGCTCCCAAGCATGAGAAGCTGATCCAAGAAAAAAGAGTTCTTGGCACTGTCAGGATCAAGCAAAGTCATTCTTACTCTGGAAATGCCATTTGAGGTATCAGTTAAAAAGAAGAAGAGCCTAACCCAGGGGTGGGCAAACTTTTTGACTCGAGGGCCACAATGGGTTCTTAAACTGGACCGGAGGGCTGGAACAAAAGCATGGATGGAGTGTTTGTGTGAACTAATATAAATTCAAAGTAAACATCATTACATAAAAGAGTACGGTCTTTTTTTTTTTTTTTTTAGTTTTATTCATTTCAAACGGGCCGGATCCGGCCCACGGGCCGTAGTTTGCCCACGGCTGGCCTAACCTGTGTGGCTCAGTGGACCATGAGGTCACCTGTTTGATCCCTGGTCGGGGCACGTCAGGTTGTGGACCTGATCCCTGGTGGGGGGTGTGCAGGAGGTGGCCGATCCATGAAGTTTCTCATTGATGTTTCTGTCTATCCCTCTCTCTTCCTCTCTCTAAAAATCAATAAAAACATTTTTTTTAAAGGGAAGAGCAGGAAAGCAAAAGTCTTCTGTGTAGATGAGAACATAAGTAATTATTTTCAGGAGTTGAAAGGAGAGAACTAATTTTTGCTAATAAATTTCAGTGAAAGCCATATAATTTTGGAAAAACACTTTTTTTTTGGACAAACACATTCTTTAATAATTTATTTTTAATTCTTTATTGTTGAAAGTATTACATATGTCCCCTTTCCCTCTCCCCCCGTCATTGACTCCCTCCAGCCCGCCCCCACCCCAGGCCCTCACCACCCCATTGTCTGTGTCCATAGGCTACACATACTAGTACATGCATGCACAGTCCTTGGTTGATTACCTCCCATCCACCCACCCTCCCCCACCTTCCCTCCAAAATTCCTCACTCTGTTCCGTGCTTCTATGTCTCTGTATCCACTCTGTTCATCAGTGTATTTTGTTACTTAGATTTTACATATGAGTGAGATCATGTGACACTTGTCTTTCTCTGACTGATTTATTTCACTTAGCATGATACTCTCCAGGTCCCTCCATGCTGTCTCAAAGGGTAAGAGATTCTTCTTTTTTACTGCTGTATAGTATTCCATGGTATAAATGTACCACAGCTTTTTTATCCACTCATCTACTGATGGGCACTTGGTCCATTTCCAGATCTTAGCTATTGTAAATTGTGCTGCTATGAACATAGGGGTGCACACACTTTTTCTGATTGGTGTTTCGATTTTCTTAGAATACATTCCTAGAAGTGGGATCACTGGATCAATGGCAGTTCCATATTTAATTTTTTTGAGGAAACTCGATACTGTTTTCCATGATGGCTGCACCAGTCTGCATTCCCACCAGCAGTGTACTTGGGTTCCCTTTTCTCTACATCCTCACCAGTACTTGTCATTTGTTGATTTGTTGATGGTAGCCATTCTGACAAGTGTGAGGTGGTACCTCATTGTCATGGACAAACAGATTTTAATGGATAAAGGAACCAAGAAATTTTGAACTGATGTATAGATGATATTTTATGCTATGACCAGATAAGTAGCTGTAATAACTAATGGGATTTTGCTTTACTATGTGCATTAAGAAACTAGCAATTGCCAATTGTTCCTGAATTTTAATGCTCATTTTCAAAAGTTAAGAATTGTCACAGGATTTTGGCTTGGAGTGGCTGAGAAAGCCCCAACCAAACGTGAAAACAAAATGTCATGTTATCCTACATTATAAAGGGTGG